TAGTAGAGTATAATTGATTCTATTTGCGGCTGCTTAGAAAGAGGTGGAGGAATATGGCAATAATCCAGGGATGACTTGAAATCAAACGGAAGTTCACATGAGGCTATGAATGCCAACATGAAAGAACAAAGCCCAAAGGATGCTATTTTTGAGGGCCAGATCTTGCGTGGACATTACATACTTACAGTCCTCCTATTCAGAAGTTATCTTTGTGCCGGCACACAAGCACATGCTAATCATCTTTTTGATGAATGTCCCAAGAACTTGCGACTAGCCAAATAAAGCCAGCAACTGTGAGGAAGTAACAGATTTGGTATGCCCAAGAGGCAGGGCTTTGAGTGATTCTGTCAGTAACAGGAAGCATTGAATGTGTTCTGAATAAAACACTGTTGATGTCAGTAAAGTATACATCATATCATTAAAAATTCATCCTACATAAATCATCAGAAAGACACCATAGAAATAAAATCACTGATGTCACAGGTAGATAGATCTCAGAGAACAAACTGGTTGATTTCTCTGCCAAAACACTGCCCCGTACAATATTTTGTACAACTTTGTGGAATCTACCTTTACCTGTATTGGGCAACTTAGATTTCTTCATTTACCAAAGGGAACAATTCACTTGCTTAGAAAAAAACTCATGGCTGGGTATATTACCTTAATAACCAGCCCCTTTTTTTTCCTTTTTTCCCTTTCAAAGTGCTATTTCATTACTCTCTTTTACCAATTTTATCCATAATTTTCTTTTTATGAATGAATATTGCTTAATTTAATAGATTGTTGTTTGCTTCCTTTTGTCTTTGGCATACCCCCTGAAATCACACGCCATGGTTCTTTCATTGTTTCTTGTAAATTAGTGTCTCTGTGCCCTTTATCTGACTTTTTTTACCTCTTTCTTTGTAATTCTCTCAATTGTTCCTTTTTGGAGTTGTTTTCTCAAGGAGTAAGCACAATCTTCCAAATACGACTTCCATAGAACCGTAAAGAGAGGAAATAGTATCTCATTATCTAGATATGATGCTTTCATATAGGTTTTCTGCATTGTTATGTCCTACTACAAAATCACGTCTACTTTTTTAATATTACTCCAGGTTTCCAGGATTTCCATTGAAATTTTCGTGGAATTCTCTCATTTGTACTGTTTTGAGTCAAGTCCCATTTTGCTATATTCTCTCCATGTTTCACTTCTCTTTTCCTTTCTACTTCCTCGGTTTCAATACTCTCCCCAATTTAATGTTATCAGCTAACACGAGGATTATATTGGTCAGTACCGTTTCTATATCTTTAGTGAAGATAATGTTGACTTTAATCCCTACAGATCTCCTCCTCTGAAAACAAAATTTGTGTTATATTTGGGTCCTTAGGATGGCTTTTCTCCACACAGCAATGGGTGAATCCAGGCCAATTACAACTGATTTTAAAAGTAGACTTTTCTATAATAGACATCCAGATATTTTCTTAAGGTTTATGTATCCTATGTCAATTTGATAGATTAAGGCTATGGTCTTCAGAGGTGAGAGACAGAGGAAGGGAGATAAGAGAGTTAAGCCTTGAGCAAACATCAACTTTCAATGAGATTTCAGCATCTCACTGCTAAAAGCTTTTTGAAAAGCCCATTCAGATCAATTTCCCACTATTACAGACACAGGCGGTGGGTGTGGAAGCCCTGTGCGGGTACTTAAAACAGCCACTCCACCCAGAAACACATTAAAAACTACCCTCTGCAGCATGAATTTATGCACTAGTGGGAGGTCTCCTAAAGGGGCTTCTGATGGATCCCATTGTCTCTGCCTGGTACACCTCCTCCACTCACTTATTCCAAGAAAGAAAGAAAAAGGAGATTCTATATTTGCCCTTTTTGCCTTCTTTTGACCACTTTGCACCCTGTTTGTGCGCAGTACCCTTAGCACATAGGAGAACCACCTCACTGCCTTTATGTCTCTATGACATTTCACTCCAAGAAAGCACTCTCCTTTTCTCCTCTGAGTCTTTATTTACTTTAATCACAGGCTACAGCAAGTGTTTAGCGATCTGTGATTCCCATGATTAGTCCCTTTTCCTCTTCTCTAAGCTCAGTATTGTGTTTACTTATTGCTGCTCTCCTGGGCTGTTTCCAGTTTTCCATGAACATTCACTATTGATTGCTAATGGTGTGTTAACTTGGTGTATTGGATCCCTTTATACCCTACAATGTGTCTTGCCTGGATCTGCTGAATTGCATATATTTCAGGCTTTCTAGATATTTCGCTACTCATATTTGTATTAATTCTAACAGGCTTTCCCCCCTCTTTTTATTGATCCCCTTGTTGGATTCTTTTAAAAAAAGTTTATTTTCTTAGACAACTGAATTTTGATTAGTTCTCTCTCTCATCAATTGTTATTATGTCTCTAGCTCTTTTCTTTCCATTACTGAATTCGTGAAAACCTCCTTATTCCCTTTAACCTTTCTGGCAAAGAATAACCTTTGCTCCTTTCCTACAAGCTTTCCTAATCTTTCCCTCCTCTCTCATACGTATGGTTCCTTCTTTTTCTAGTCCCAGTTCAGACTCTCAAACCTTTGTCTAGTGTTTTCTGAATCCATGTTTGCTGCCTCTTCTTTTTTGAAGACTTTTTGGAAGAAATCCTGTCTGTTTTGTCTTGCATGTTCCCCATCTCCTGACACTGATGGATTCTAATATTTTCTGAAAACTCCTCCTCATAAATAACTCTCGAGAATTCTTGATTCTTTAAGATGTTTTCCTTGTAGTCTATTATAATTGCACCGTACTGTGTTCTGTGAATTTCCTAACCTATCTCTGCTAAATCCAGCTCTATCACTGGCAATGCTATCAAGCCGATGGTGTTCTCACAGTTTTCTTTGATTTCTGTCTATTGGTAAGAATTATATCCAACAAGGCTTCGTTTCTTATTAGAACCCCTATTTTCTACATCCTACAGCTGTATATGATTTAGGACTATTTCAGTGATCTGTGTTTTGACGTCTTCATAACAGAACAGATAATGACTAAATGCATTCCCTAATGAACAGTATCAGAAAGTTCTGACTGTGCTAAACTTGGTATGACATTTTTTCCACCATCATATACTGTTGGTAGTCTGTAGAAAATGGGCTTTGTACAACAGCTGCATTCTGAATATGGATTTTTTAGAAGCTTTATCCATGTCTTTGACCTGTGCTTTCTGTTCTGACTCTCTTTTTAAAAGGTCTCTTCTCAGTTGTTTGCAGTCATTTTGAGTAGAGCATTAAAAAACCTAGCCAAGACTATGACCTTCTGGATGCTGCAGCTAATTGCAAACAAGTAGCTTCCATCCCTGCTTGCAAGCATTGCTGGAATGTTCAATCTTGCCCATTTTACCCCAGGTTCAGCATTTCTCTGAACTCAGCTATAAATTTTGCATTGACTGTGTATACTGGAAAACAGAGGGCCCATTTTCACATTAATAATAAATATATAAAGCTGTACCTATTCTCTAGCTCCATCACCATCGTCCTCATGAAAAGAATATTTTATGTGTACGTGCCATCTCTCATATAACTATTTCACAGGTTGTTTAAAAGCATGGGTAAGTATTATTGTCCTCATTTTTTTAAATGGAGACAATAGTATTGCAAGATAAAGCACAAAAATATTTCAGTAGATACTTGGAGAACAGAATAAGACAGTTAACAAATAATCCACCTCTCATGACTCCTGCATAGAGCTATTTTCCATTGATATGACCCATAGAAGATACCAGCTTTCGTGTTGCCCACTTATGCCAGATAGTGCTCTAATACAGCCAGAAACAAACTGTGAGCAGGTCACTTCAGTGCCAAAGCTGAATAATCAAGTAAAATGTAATTTTGGATTAACACAGAAGAGAAATGTTTTATTTTGACTAGTAAAATGAAATATGGGGAAAAAAATCTTGTTTTCTTTAAAAAAAAATACTTCGATTCTGTTAAAAGAAACTTTTTACTTGAAATGAAATTTCTATTTCATATTTGGGATCTATTTAATCATGTATCATATCTCTTTTAATAGCAAATTCGGCCTCTAAAGGAATTTTTTAAAATAATATATTCCCCAGAAATTTTTACCCAGACCTACTTGAGAGTTCCCGCTCTCAGTGGTAAGACAACCAATGCTTCAGGAAGCGGGAATATTCTTGTCCCCATTTTGCAGAGGAGGACTTGAGAAATACTGAATGTAAACAATGTGCCCAAGATGGTGGTGTCAAATGTTTCAGACAAGCGATAGAGCCTCCAAAAGGCGTTCAAAAGCCATGTGTCCCTCCTCCTGTGTCACATTGAGATCAGAAATGTGTTACCAAAAGGCGAGGGGCAACATCATGTGGTTGGAACAAGTTAGGCTGAGGACGAGGCAAGTGTAAGAGCCCTCTCACACGTGTGGCTCTGGCATTGTGTGACCGGACCTTGGTGAGAGAGGGACTTCTGCTCATCTCGGAGGAGAAGCTGTGGCAGCAGGGAGCAGAGCATGGTCCTGACTGACAAGGTGCAGATTTCACCTGTCAGCTGTGGGTGAGGAGCCTCAGGAAAGAGGCTCCAGAGACAGAAACCCAACAGAAGTCATCAAATTCATCTTTCAGCATTTCAGGAGCTAGGTCCTACTTCTGACCCCCTCCATCTGAAGGTATGAGCCTTCAGGACATGCAAGCCTTAAAATCCTGAATGGTTCCATCATTTCAAGCTTCCACCATCATTAATATTCAATGGCTGTTCACTACCTTTCTATGGTTTGCTTCTCTTTTGTTTTAAAACGTAAGTTTTATGTGTTAACTTTTTGTTGTTGTTCTTGTTGATGGGTCAACTGTTAGCTCACTGCAGCATAGGTAGAGCTGTCACTCGAGGAGTGGGCACCACGTGAAGTGCATGGCGATGTCTCTGTTGTGGTGGCTTTAGCTGGGATATTGGTTAGTGGAATAAAAACTCAGCTGCTTCCTTCGGGGCGATTGATCAATTTGTTTTCCTCATCTTTGCTCTTGTTGACAACAAGCTTGATGAAATCAGTCTTTCTGAAGGCAGCACAGTGGATTTGACAAATCCTGCAGAACTGCTGGAGCAGATCCCTGAGTTTGCTGAGGAGCTGATGGAGCCTGAAGATTGCTTCCCCGAAGGTAAGGGCCTGCATATTTCACTGCAATGCTGAGGCAAGAAACCTCCTCTTCTCTTAGTGAACATCTCTCCACCTTCACACCACGTTGCTCTGGCTGCTTGCAGTAGTATTTCACTGGATTCACTTCATTTCTTAGATACTGTAATGCTCCAAATACACACTCAAAATCACTTGTTATCATTAGTCTTTGGATTTCCCAGGTGAGATAAGCCAAAAGCATGCTCTAAAAGCCTTTGCAGTTTCTAAAGTGCTAGGCTTTTTTTCATCATAGTCTGTGCCATAAAGGGTTGGGGTTTTTTTAATGTTGATTTTTCTAACTCGGCCAATGAAGATGTTTGCCTTCCAATATGCATGCATGAGCAAATTTAGTAGAAAACTGATCGGATCATGATGTTTCTGATGCTTAAACGTATACAGGCAGTTAACAGAAACTGTCTGGAGAGTTCATGAGTCCCAGAGACTCTCTGCCATTTATTTTAAAGGGTGTTAAGATTAGCATGTCCTGTAACTCTCACCCGATCAGGGATGTACTATGTAAAGGGTATTTTACTTAATTATTTTAGGTAACAACAAATCACATTTACATAACTTTTAATACCAAAATATGCCATCATTTTAGTAATTTTTTTAAGACCATCCTGTTCTAGAACACAGGTTTAAAACCCAGCCGTATCAGAAGATCTGTTTTGAAGTAAATGTGTGAGGTAAATAACATCCTACGTAATTTCTTATCAGAGTGAGTTATATTCTAAATATTATCTCAGTCAGGTTTCTCATTTTCCTTTAAATCTGGCTTGGAAAAAATAGGGTTAGCTGAATGTTAATATATTCCCTTGAAAATTCAAGGATTATTATAAATAAAAACAGAGCTACTCAGATGGGATCAGACAGAGATGATTTGCTGGGTATACGAATGCCCCTGAAGTCAGCAAAAATGTGGATCTCTGTATCTGTGAGAAAGATGATTGAATGAGGTAAGGGAGCCCTGCAGGGCTTACAAATGTCCCTAGGATCTAAACATTTTTTTGGCAGCTCTGCTTAAAAGCGGTAGCTAAAAATTAATGCAATTGACGGAAGAAAGCATGGTGTAACTATTCTGGCCCATACAATAACATTTAGAAATTAGATCCGGTGTTTTCATTCTTTCACAATATATTTCTTAATGAGGCTAGTGAGCAGCAATCTATGTTGTACACTGCAAAGTGAGAAATTACATTATAATTGCTTAAACAAGCCAGTGTTGTAAGACTGGTGCGAGTCAGATGCTAGTTTACAAATTCTGAAAATGTGGTTGACCATCATCGCCTTTCAGTTTTTAAAAGAAATAAGGTAGACATCACACAACCCATCATTCAGTGCACAGCCCTGATTCATTCCCAGAGCAGCAGCACTCTGTAATTTGTGCTGTCTTAAAACAACCAGAACTACCTGAAACTCCATCATGCAGGACCACATCAGTCCCAGCCCAGTTTGTCACATCTTCTCTGCTGCTGTCAATGGGATGCAGGGTAGCAAGCGGTGCTCTTCTAGATGGATCACTGGAAGCATTAAGCCAGTTTTGAAGCCCACTCGTCATCCTCACAGCAGAGAAATGTGGAAACAAAGGCCTTATGGTGTGAACTCCAAGCTTGCCCTGGTTTACATCCGCCCTGCTGGCTCTTACTCTCTTCTCCCTGAGCATCCCTGCTCCTGCCTTTTACCTTTTATTCTTCATCTCTCCTTGTTCCTCACCAGTCCCTGTTCAAGTCAGGGTGTTTTCCTCTTCTCCCAGGGTACAGCCATCTGAGCCTTGAGCTCTGAATGAGAATTGAAGGAGAACTTGCTCCCAGCCCTTGGCCCAATGCAGGGTGTCCAGGGGCACTGGGAATGCAGTTGAAGGTAATGTCCTCCCCAACATATCTGCTCTGCTTTCCTATGCGACACGTATCCATGCAGATTTTTCAGAGGCTATTGTGTAGGCTAAATGTGATCACATTCCGCACAGATTTGGCAAAAATGCATAAACTTGACATGTGAATGTTCACTCATAAAATTTCAAGTCAAAATGCCGTAAACTGAAAGTTCAAATGATTCTTACTGCAATGACATTAACATTTGGTTTTATTTATGCAGGGAAACAAAGTTTTTTCCTATAATCTTCTTTTATTAAATACCTTCCATTATTTTTACTGAAACTTACCACTGCAGTTAAACCTCATGCAGTTATCATTTCAGTCTAGTTAAGAAACAGGCAAGTCAACAAGCAACTGTCTAATTAGCTAAGTTATGACAAGGTTATAAAGTACTAAAATGGAAGTATTGAAGGGCATGCACTGGGCAAGTTTATCTAGTGTTGCCTTTACTGGCTTGTAGCAAAGAGATACAGCAATATTTGGTACATTTAGGAGAATGACCAGCTAATATTTAGGAAAGAAGGAGGTTAGGTGAGATGAAGAGTGAGAGGGGAAGGGTTAAGTTCTTACCTTGTTAGCTCACCAGCTATCTAAATTGAAACTATGACATTTCTAAACACATCCAGCATAGGTTATGTCCTGAACAAATACGTTCCCGATTCAGCCCCCTTTTTCAGATAACAAAGGCAACGAAGATAATGCATGTTCTTGAAATAGTTGCTGAAAGTTTGCTGAGGTCACAGTTTTCCGGGAGTTGGGTGACCCAGATAAGCCATAGGTCATTTTTCTTGGGGAGACTTGTTAATTTGTTATCATCTCAAAATAGCTTTGATTAGGGTCAACGAGGAACATTCTTGGGTCAGGAAATGTGAAGCCAAGGTAGGGTCACAGTTCTGGCAGTTAGCAAGTATTGCTGGGAAAAACCTGATAGAAATGGAGAGATCGTTCTTGTTGCCAGTTGGTGGGAAAGCAGCATCTAGGCAATGCCAGCTATTTGGGTAGTTTTTCCTCCAGATGCCTTGCAACACTCCAGTCCTGTTACCTCCATTGGTATGCATTCTCTCCATCAAAAACTGCTATCGGTTTGGACATTATCTTCTGTGTCTCACAGAAGGTCATCCAAAGAGAGTCCCCTGGCCCCAGCACGCTCCTCTCTCCCAGACCCTAATAGGAGAAAGTTTTCACCAAGTCCTTAAGCGTAATTCCCCAGACACAGCGCACTGGCAAAGGTTTCAAAGGAGTATCATCAGATGGTTGTGCGAGAATGAGCTACCTTGCTCAACGCGCAGTTGATCGCAACTCGTGACACTGAGGACGCCCAAAACCAGTTTTTCATGTGACCATGTAGGAGCAATTATCGCAGCTGGAAAATGCCATGTGCTCAAGTGAAGTTACTCTGATTAATGGTGGGTTCTGCGTCATACCTTCCCCAACTGCAGTTAGCGACTGTTCAGAAATAAAAAGCTGAAGAGGTGCAAAAACAAACCGTTAAACTCAACAAATCTAAACTGGCCTACAGGGACCACCACCAGATGATGTTTAAAAGCCAAGTAAAACCAAACCAAGCCCAACAAAATGTGTTAATTGTCATCCTAGAAAATAATCATGGAACAAAACCAAGTTTTAAAGTATCTCTTTCCTCTAGCTGTAATTCCTGAGATACGGTGTATTTTTCTATCAAGAAGGGCAGGCTAATATTTTGTTGTATATAATTTTCAGACATCATAAGACTCTTACAGTCCTGTTGCATGTACACAATTAAATTAATTTGGGTTGGACAGGACATCTAGTTTTCAAGTTGTCCACCCCCTCGTTGAAAGCAGGGTTGACGTCAGTGGTAGACTAGGCTGCCCACTGCCTTTGCTTCAAGGCATCACACCGTTATTTGTAGTGACCTCTGAGAGGATATGTTTTGAGGAGAGTAGCAGCAGATAAACAAGAAATGTACCCTTGTAAGGCCCTTGGAAGAGTAAAAACACTTGATAGACTGTGGCTTTGTCAGATGCTTTCTTGGCAGCACCCAGTTGTAGTACCCAAGGAAAGACTCAAATATCCATGTGTGTCTCAGGTACCTGAATGCTGGAGACAGTGATGACAAATCTTTTCTGTGTTAGCCCCAGAACTGCATAGTATAAAACCCAGCCATGCATGCCAGTGGGCTAGTGGGGCCAGAAGAAGAGAAAGGGGTTAAATAAGGAGGGTCTGCAGAGATCATGTTCCCTCCAACATGGAGAGACAGCTGGGATCTTACAAAGGGACTACAGCCAGGCTTACTTTCTTGCTTGAGCTTACCCAGCTAGCCAGGCTGGTCATTAGAACTCCAGCTTGGCAGAGGTAGATATAGATAGATATAGATATAGATACAGATATAGATATATATAAAAACCATGTAATGAATACCTGCCTGCTTGAGTTTATGCTGAGGAAACTGTATTTTCTTTGTGTCAAACCAAGCAATGCTGTAACCAGCATTCAAAGCTAAGCAAAATATTGTTTTGTTCCAAAAATGAATGTCCCAATAATTAGGAACTCCTGTGTAAAGGCAGTAACAAAATTACTGCAGTTTGAACACAAGATGCTAGATGTACTGGACTACAGTATAGAAGAAATTAATTGATATTCCTGGTTTATTGAAGAGAATCAGCAGCCAAATCCATCCAAAACATATCTAATAATTTTATGTAAATTTAAATGTATATATTGGTGTGAACAAGAAGTGGATTTATAAAGCCTTTACTCATAAGTGTGAAATCAATAGGCTTGGCTGTCACGCATGCAGCAGGAAGTTTTTCCAGTATAGCTCCCACATTTACAAAGAGGTTTTTTTCCCAATGCACCAAGGTAATGCAATCAGGTCTAACAGCTCTGTGATTATAATGCACCAGGCTAGAAAATATGAATGTGGAACCAAAGAAATATTTACACAAATGCATTGTAAATTAAACTCCTGCTACCCTTTTCTTTTTTTTCCACTTACTTACTTATCATTGTGGCAGATGCTTAAGTAAGAGCTTTCTCAGTCACACCTGCAAGCGGAGACTGCGGTTTAGGACACATTTTAATCTACAGTTTGTGATTGTGCTATAGGACACCCCAGTGACTGAAAGGAACAATTCCCTTGTTATGAAAAACAAACAAAAAGTAAATAATATCATGGTATATTGATGCATTTGGAAAGGTTTCTTGATGACTAGGTCTCTGTTTTGTGAGAAATGGTATGTCACGTTCAAATGTGAATTGAAAACAGATGTTCTTGGACAAGTTGACCACTGATGCAGCTCAGTACAGCTTCACTGATTTACCACCAAAAAGCTCGACCTTTTTGGAGGACTTTTTCTGCTGTTCTGTGTTTCTGTTGAGCAGTAACCTACTTCCTGAAAGGCCATGGTGGAAATGAGTCAGTTTGCTCTCAGAAAAGATGTAGTCCAACATGAATAACAGTGGCAAAACTAAGTCTTGACTAAATCACAAGGTGGTCAGCTTCTTCTGCACAACCCATTCCCTACTAACATTGATTTCAGGGGGATAGCACAAATCTATTAGACAAGGCAGTATGAGTAATGCTGTTATAAGAAATGCCAAAGGGTTTATTCCTGCCTTGACATTTGCTGTGTTAAAAGGTGTTAATGAATAGTCTTCTTCATGTGGATAAAGTAGCTTTCAAAACCTGAAGCTAGGCTCTGCTGACTACCTGCCTTGTTACAGAAGCCAGCTGGAGTTATGATTGCTCAGACCCTCACCAGGTCATGCCTTAGACACATTGGAATGGTTTTGATATTTTGATTTCACAGAAATGAAAAAAAAAAATCAAACCAAACCAAAACTATTAGAATGCTGACCAAGGTCAGGTAAACTTTTTTTTTGTTGACTTACGTGAAACTTCTAATTCAGCATTGAAGCTTGGGTCAAGGTCACCAGAACAGTAGGCTACCAGGATTACGAGACAGTCCAGATAGCATGGGCATGAAGTAACGGTCAGTGATGGAAATCAGAAAATTTGAAATTGAAATAGAACTTTACTGATTCATTAAAAGACCTGTTTGTGGTCAGTTTTATTTTTTCTTTCCTTTTTCTTTTTTTTCTGTTTGATTTATGAATAGTTAAAAATAGCATTTCATCTGAATTGCAGCCAGCATGATTATTCACGGAAGTGCTACTTGACATTAGTAATTGTATCAGAATCTGGTCTAAACATTTCTGAATTGGGCCCAATCAGAAGCATGGGATTTAATAGCACTGTGATTTTGGGCTGACTCATCTGAGAAGCTATTTTTGATTTTTCAAGGTATTACTGTCAGTAACTAGGACTTTTTTTTCAGATCGGAATTGCATGAAAGCCATCAAAGAGCATAATAAAAAAAAAAAAAAAAAAAAAGATTAGTGGTCTAGTGGTCCTAGCTGGCCATTAAAAATACATCTCTGTACCTGTAGATTATCAGATGGAAGCTGACTGAATCAGCAATAGCCTCTTTTTACCGTTTTGTGAGTATTTTCCGTCAGAAATGAAGTGACTTTGGAACTCACGGTGCCCTGCTCATTAGTATGCAATTTGAAGGTGATTCCCTAATTTTAGCTGTGCCTGGGCTCGGGTAATCATGTAGGCTCCCTGCGTAGTGGAAAGACAGAGGCAGATTCCTCCAGGGAATGATTCATCCAACCGTCTTACCGTGGGGAAAACCACTTCCTGGAAGATCCTAATATTTTCCAACAATACTTACAGAGCATTTCTGCTCTGTGAGAGCATGGCAGAGCATGTCATGCCTGTTAGTAGCTGAGCCTAGGCACTCATCTAAAAGACTAAAAAGCCAAGTATCCATCTAGGAAGTAACTTAGAAGAAAAGAGTGGAAAGTTTATGGACAAATGTTTTAAGTCAGAAAAAAAGCTGGTTTTTTTCCAAATTAAAAATATTTATGGGAACAAGGTATGGTCATGGAAAGTTTATTCTGCTAGAAGCAATGGTTACTTCCAGTACAAAGGAGGATTTCTGCTTAACATGAGAAATCCACACTTACATAGTGAACAACCTGCTCATTAGGCTGTTCACTTGGTGAAAGAGGGTTCTGAGTCCAAGTCTTTGGTCTTCCTGATCCGAAGCTGAGTTGACAATGAGGTGACCAGTGTCCCTGCATCACAGCACAGAATGTGGACCAGACACCTGAAAGATGGTAATGACTACACAGGTTGTGGAGTGAGAAGTAGTGTAAGAGTTTTCTGGCAGCACTACTAAGAGATGCAACTAATAGCCCCCTCTGTCATGTCATGCTCGTGGGATTATACTGCATGGGCATCTCTAAGCGGAGCTGCCATATGAGTATGTTAGCTCAGGAGTCCTAGTTCCTTGCACTATTGCATGGCTGAAGTCTGTTCCGTGCACCTAGTTCCTAAAATACACCCAAATCACATGCATTACCATCTATGAGCAATGTACAAAAAAGTAGTGACTAATGTGGTATCCTTTTATCCCTTGACAACAGCCTTTGGTGTTTAAGACTGAAGTGCTTAGAAGAATAATACTTGCCTTTGCTGGAGTGGTACCTGACCTACAAAGAGGCGGAGAACTGGTTCTTACATTTCTTTCTCCTAGCATTATGTCCTTCTCAGATAGTTTGATTAGTTTAGTATATTTCAACTGAGCTCAAAATTCCTCTGAATTCCAGAATACAGTGGTAAACCAGGAACTGATGTGGGTCTGTGTGATGCAGATATTTAGAGGACAGATAGTTACTTGCATCACTGTCCCATTACCTTTGCATAAACGCTTTACTGTCCTGTCAGTCCCATACCAAAACCTTATATAGCCAAGAGCCTACATCTAACCAAAATCTCAGAAATGTGAGGAAAAGAGAAGCTCTGGGAGTGGTTCATGTATGAAACATCCTACAGTTCTTTTTCTCCATAGCAGGGATCTGGGATAATAAAAACTTACAGAAAATGCCAGGAGGACCACAGCAGACTTAGCAGCTCCCTTCCTCCTGGCAGAGCCTGCTGCCAGCACAGCTCCACTTCCAGCTGCTTGGGAATCCTGGCATCCCAGGAGTTGCACTTGATCTCCTTGGATATCACATGCAGCTCAAGCGCCTCAGTTATGCCACCTTGAATTAGCAGCATCTGCTGTCTGCGTAACCTTGGCAGTCACCCTCTTTCCTTCCCAAGCTTCCTTGCCTAAATATTATTTCTACTTGCAGTGACACTGCATTACATCACCATAATGAGATGTCCTCCCTTGTCACTTCTGAACAGTTGCTGTATGCTTCAAGACATGCTAATGACCTTGGCCACCTTTCAGCTATGGAAGCAGTTGGCCTGTGTTTTTATTTCTCATGATGGGACTTACAAAGCTCCATAGCTAAGTCTCTTTCTATACAACACATGGATGAAATGTAGGGTAAAAAGCTTCTTTTTGAAAATAAATTAGTTTCTGAGGGTCTTTCTCATTAACAAATGTTGTAAAATCTGACTAAAATTATCTGACGTAAGGCTGAATGGCCAACCTGGAAAAAGACAAGTTTTGGCTACCAGGGTGTCCTCTCACACAGTTTTAAGTTCTTAACCAGCATAATGCAATGCACATGGTGTTTTTCAAAATGGGAGAGATGGATCTATCCGTTACCAAAATGACGATATCCTTTTGCTATAACAAATGAATATTGCTAAGGAAACTAAAAATGGCCATGGTTGTGCCTATCAGAAGTCCTTGTGTGGTCCGCATTATGACCATAGCATTTAACTATCACACAGGATTTGTCACTGAGGTCAGAAAGTGCTAAGAAACATCGGTGGGGAATCTGCTGTGGACAAGATATCTAAATTTCTACTGACATCAAAGGGGATTTAACTGCCTAAATATATTTCCAAAGTTGTTCTAATGCCTTGTTTAAGCTCATGAGAGTCCAAGACATCAAAATCTGCTCCTGCTTTTGCTGTCTGAGTATCTTTAGCACGTTAGTCCCATGTGCACTGTAGCGCCTCCTCCCCTCATCTCCCTTACATCAGATTGCCACTTTTAATCAGTAATTCTAGTGGTATTGTAGTGCCAAGAAAATATCCTTCCTCCATTCAAAAGTATGTGGAAACTACTAGTAATACCCTGCTAGAGTCATTAGCCCTGATCAGGGGTGCTACCTGAGCTCACCTAACACAATGTGATCAACCTAGGGCACTGGTATCTCATGGCCAGTATATTCTATATCATAAAAATCATTGGGAGAAATCACTGGGACACATTTTCAGTGATTTTGAATTTTTTTTAATAAAAGAGCGAAGAGGAAATCTTGTTTAGCAGCTCCTTATTGCAGCTTTAAGAATTGAATAGGCTTTTTTAACAATTGCTTTGTTTTCATTTTACTCTTTTTCAGTTTGTGTGCGATTCTTCCCATGCTGTTCAGTGGACATCACAAAATTTCCAGGCAAAATTTGGTGGAGGCTGCGGAAAACCTGCTACAGAATCGTTGAACACAACTGGTTTGAAACTTTCATCATATTCATGATTCTGCTGAGCAGTGGAGCCCTGGTAAATGTAATAGGATTTCCTAGCTGGTTGAAAGTGGACATGGGTCTCAGAGAAGGTGTTCTCCAGTTAGATGTCTCTAAGATCTTATTAGCCCTTACTGATCATTTCTCAAAGCAAAGCATGTTTGGAGCTAAAACAGGTCTTCAGCTTTTCTGATTTCACCTGCCTTTACCATATGGTGGGGAACTTTCTTCTGTTATAACATAAAATTATGACTTGCACACATTTTGAAAAGCAAATCCTCAAGGAAGTCTGTGTGAGGAAGTATCCCAGAGTTACTACTTCAGCATCCCATAACTGCTCCATAGTAGTTCCCATCTGGAGGCTTGCATTTTGCTCCAGGGATGGTTTTTTCTTTTTTTTCTTTTTTTTTTTTTTTTTAAGCACAATTTGTAACTAGCAAAGCAAAATCCTAAAAGATGCAGGAGGTACTGAATCATGCTACCCATGGAGCTAGTGGGCACCTGTCATGTTTTGAATGCACCTTAGCTTAACCACTGTACCTTCCCTGCACAGATAGCTCCTCTTTGCATCCAAATGAATGTGTATGTACGGAGACTGGTTGGTTATTGCCCAGGGCTCTGACAAGGGATCCTCTCCTCCTGAGATCCCACTGTGTACTGGGATTATCCTCTCTATAATATTAGACCTGGGCTCTGCGTAGCGATGGCAGCATATATTTATGTTGCTCATTTACATGTCAGGAACGTCACTGAAGCTGGTGGGATTTCTCCCAGGTTTTTATCCAGGTGTAGAGCAAAGAGGTATATCAAGAATTCTCCAGGCTTTGGTCTGGTGGTCACTGATTTTGTCCTCCGTGATGGAGTAAGAAATACACCTACTAAATTTGCAGACAGTGCCATGTTTGGACAGGTTATCCTTGTATTTCTGGAAGTCAAGATTAACTTCAGCCAAATGGATGAATCTTCCTTAAGTAGTAAGAGGAACATCGTCTTAGAAAGGTGCCTTGCTTCACCTCATCAGGAATAATCACAGGCAGTAAAGCAGGATGCAGGATGACTGGTAAGGTAGCAGATTCACTAAAAAGAACTGGAGAGAGAACAGGCAACAAACAGGATAGAGTAAACTACATCATAGCATCGCACAAAAGCTGAACACCCCACTGGGCTGTATAAATAAGCATGTTCTTCCACTCCAGTTGGCATCAAGGAGACCTCAGCTGGAGCACTGGCTTCAGCTCTGGGCATTGCACTTTGGGAAAGACATGGGCTAATTGAAGAAACTCCAGAGGAGAGCAACACAAATTATCAGTGGCCTAAAAAAAGGGGAAAACACAGAAGTACTGGGTTTATGTAGTTTAAAGAAAGTCTCTGCAGGGAGACACGAAGGTGGATATACATAAATGTTGATGCAAAAAGGAAAGGAATGGACTGTTCTCCAGATCCACCAGGGATTGTCTGAAATTTCACCTAGGAAATCTTATTTTATTATGAAAAGTAAGAGGCTGAAAAACTTAGGTAAATAGTAGGCTGCTGAAAATTGTCATAGCTTTGCTGAAATCAATGGAGTCTGACAGTTTTTGCACCAGCTTGAGAATCAGCATGTTAATTTCTTAACACATTTTAAAGGGGGCATGTCGCTTGCTATAATACACTTCAGATGAATACACTTCCTTACGTACGTAATTGAAAGTGCCTTAGATACTGAACACTGCAATATAAATCTCATTTAATTTTCATTGCATGCATTCATTTACTTTTTGTGATTTTCAATTTAGTCAGTGCAATCCTGTATAAGGGCAAATTATGCTGCATTTTCTCACATATCAGCACTGCGCTTCAATATTTGGACTGGAGATGTTGGAGGCAAGACACAACTTTTTTCGTCTGTTATTCTGGGGTGAGCTCTTCCAAAAGCTGAGCTCATCTGGCTACATTGCTGGGACATGCCAAGTTCTTAAGAGAGTTTAAAAGCCAGTATATATTTGTATGTGGTAGTTAAACCATCAGAATATATCTATAGCTTTCTGCAAAAGATCCAAAAACCCTTCTTATGCATCTAAGCCATAGGCATCCAAACTGGGAGCCTGTGTTTTAATAGTAATTGTGGATAACACTGCAGATATCCTCTTTTTTAACAAAGCAAGCAAAGCAGAAGAAATAACCCTTAATGATGTTTTATATTGCAAAGATTTCATCTGTCACTGTGAAAAAATACAAAGCACCAGAATTTTGGCATTTGGGTAATATCCATAGCTCGTGCAGAAATACAGGGCACCTGTGGCATTCAGGTAGCATATTTTTCATCCCTTATTAAGCTCTTTCCTGACTCACAGTGTGTTTTTAGTACACAATGTACTTTTGGACAAGTGTGTAGAAAGTAGGGAGAGCAAAGGAGGGAGAAGAGGAAATAATTTTAAATAGTTTGTTGTTATTTTTGCTGTAATTGCAAAGTACAACAAGTCATCTGACAAAGTGAGTGAGCCCCTACAAGAAGTGATAAGCTCCAATCTCTCCATGTATTGTTTTCTGTAGCTTACTCCAGCAGCTCTTTCACACCCTTGAAATATCATTTTTGAAAGCAAGATAGGAGACCGAGTTGCAGTGAAAACGTCACCCCAAAGTGTGGGGACAAATGGACAAGCTTTGGCACAGGCTGCCAAAGCTTTCTTGTCAGTTTAATTACTGTTTCCTGGCAGGCAAAAGAGCAGTGTGACTGCTTGAGTGACAAGCAACACACTTCTTGTATCTCCAGGCACTGGGTGTTTGCTAACTTTTTGAAGTTCCTCAGAAAGTAGCTACAGATCTTGAAATATGTAAATGCAGATAATTAAGATGATTAGCACAGACCCTCTCAAATAATGTTGCCAAGTGCTCTGGGTCACACGATGGGATGAGAGTATTATATCAAAGCTTGGGTTATCCAGGTTATAGGGACAAGGGAGCAGCTTGTGTAATGATAGTCACTGGAGTAGCTGGGAAAGCAGACCGTAACCACTGCTCGACTTAGAAACCCCAAAACGGGCCACATGTATGCAACCCTGACACTAGGATCCTGCATTTTATTTACGTACATTATAAAGTGAAAGCTAAATTATGAGACAACTTTATTTGTTTTATTTTAGTAGGCATATTGGTTTATATCTTAAATATTTTAAAGGGGTTATTAAGTTGCTTGTATTTGATACAGATACTGAAAGTGCTTTGATGATGTCCTGCATAAGGTTAGTTAGAGAGACAGATGAGACGGGTAGATAGATACCTTGACCTTTAAAACATAATTGTTCTGTTAAGTGAATAATAATGAGCATTTCTTGAGGCAGATAGCTGTAGCTGCTTGAAATGTAATGGCTGAACAGAAGCCAGGGAACTCTGGTACTCTAACGCAGGCGGGTTAATAACCTAATTTCTCATCATTAGCAATAAGATGTATTTGACTAAATGTAAGGGTTGGATTCTGCCTCCTAAAGACAGATGTCCTAGCCCCAGGGACATCTGAGGTGCCCCGATAGCAGTGGCACAGCCAATGGGAGCTGAGGCAGGATGCCCTTGGGCAGCTTGGGATGGCACCCTGCTCATAGACTCATGTTCCCAAATTTAGGGTGCTTAAACTCTTCTTACACTCAAAGGTTCTCTAGTCAGTACAGTCAGTAGAGGATGGAGAGAGAGAGCTAAGCATGTGTTCATTATATGGGAAAGCTGAACAGATCTCTGTTAGGTTAGGGTCGGTCCTATTTGTGCCTGCACGCTCTTTCTGATAGTAACATTAAAATATATCAGAAATCACAGACAGTACCATATATCCCATCAAATAATGCCACGGACTTGCAGTGCAGCGCTGATGCTTTCCAACAGAGCTTAGGAGAAGTTTTTAATCAATCTTTTGTACTTTCAGGCTTTTGAAGATATTTATCTTGAAGATCGGAAAAACATAAAAACCATGCTGGAATATGCTGACAAAATATTCACTTACATCTTTGTCTTGGAAATGCTCCTGAAATGGGTGGCTTATGGCTTCAAGAAATATTTCACCAATGCCTGGTGCTGGCTTGACTTCCTTATTGTAGATGTAAGTATCATTCTGGAACTACGATGCTTCTTGTGTTGGATTTTATGATGCATGAGAACGGGCTGTTAAGTCTGGCAGTTTTGCATTTGCAAAATGACAGCTGTCACTCTGATTTTGACTAACAACCCTAGGCACAGCTCAAAGGAGGTCTTGATATGTAACTGTACCTCTCCAGGAATCAGCGTGCCAGAGTGGAGAAGACCGCTTTGTGTCGTTACGTAGAGGTGTCACCCTGCTAATTTGAGTCACATTCCCTTCTCATCCCTAGGAACTAGCTCTTTCTTTTAGCATTTAACATCTCGTTCCACACTCCTGGCTAGCACAAGGTCCGGTTACCTCCAACTGCTCCACACATGACCTCGACACACAAGTCTTTCAGCAGATTAGAGAAGCTGTCCTTGGCGTAGCTTCCCGGCAAAGCTGCCAGCAGTGCGTACAGTATGTTCAGTACTGTCTCCCAACTATTTACCAGTGAAGGAGTCCAGAAGAAGGTTTGAATAGTCCTCTTGTCAAAGTGATTTCACTGTTACAAAACCTTACGAGAGACTTCAAATCCTTGAAATATAGCAATGCTTAGTTCTCCTACGAGGATAATCCTTAAAAGCAAAAAACAGTTGAACCAAAGGGAGCTCCTGCCCCAGGAGCGTTGCTAGTACCAGGCATGTCCCCTCCAAAGTTTCACATTGCCTCGATGTGGGATATGCCAAATTCAGGAAAAGCCGGCAACACCTCATCCTCCAGATGAGGCTTAACATTTCATCACAGTGTGCCAATAAGGAGGCAATTATTTCCCTGAGGCCATTTCTTATTAGCTTGAGGTGTTAATGTGGAAGGCTGGCAGAGCTTTGCCATGACTGTGTAACTTATTAAACTTTTGACAAATTATTTTTCCCCATTTTACATCTGAACCTTGACTCAGGGGAGAACTGCACTTTCTTTGGCCCCAGTCCAGGAAAGCACTTCAATAGGACGATTTACTTGTTTGAAGTTATGGACATGTCTAAGTGCACTGCTGGATCAGAGCCTTTGGAAGCTTCTCCAGAGCTTTAATAAATTGTTTTATGAAAAGGAAGTTCTTTACATAAATTGTAGGTCATAAATTCCTCTTTGCATACATGCTTGGAAACCTCTTAAAGGGAAGGCACTCGTTTTTGACAGATTAGCTTCAACAGAAAAGGAAGGCCTGGTTTAATTATCTAACCACAAAATTGGAAACCACCAGTTCCTAAGTTATAGCCCAAACCTGAAAACTATGCTTGCTGTGGTTTAGGTCAAAAGACATAGATTTTCTTTCCTGGTTTCTCCTTCTGTAAGATGGGACTAATAGGACTTGCCTAAAGTATTATATGGGCTTCTAGGAATTTGTTATTGGAGTTACTATTTTAATGAGCTTCTGAAAACTAGAAGGGCTCAATGAGGGCCGAGTACTGTCACAACTATAAGTAGGGGTCTTCCTGACGGGAGCAACAGTTTGCACAATGAATTCACTGAAACAGTTTGGAGTTCTGCTGCATCATTAACAGTTTGAAATGAGTTCGACACTTGTTAGGTATACATACTTCATAGCATGACATCTGATTAATAGCAAAGAGAGTAAAACAAAATCTAAGCTAAATTCTGCCCTCCATGCGAAAAGCCCCCTTGCAACAAGAGCTATACAAGAATGCAAAGTCAGTGTGTAACCCCAAAATTTAGCTAGATGTTTGCCTTTGAATGGTGGGGTTTGTGAGTATAATGACAGATGTAGAGGCAGCCAGAGGTGGGCTGGGGAAAGGGGCATCGCCTCCCCTGCCACATGTCCAGAGCACATTTGGCATCAAGCAGTGCTGTGGTGGAAAGGGGACCACAGGCCCCTGGGACTCCCTTTACCCCCAGAAAATCTAGCCCACAGCTTTCTTACTGACCCAGAGTATTTTATTTTCTTAACCCGCATTTAGATGTTGGTTTTGCAGGCTCCCAATCTAACCAAAAAGTTGGTCCACCCTTGACTTGTTTCAGTTATTGATTGACTCAGTTATTGAGTGACTAAAGGGAATCACTTACCCTTTAGTGTTCTCCATAAATAAAGCTTTTCCCCATGCCCCATTCTTTTCTTCAAAGTCTTTTCCCGATGCAGATTATGAGAACTTGGTACTATATTTTTAGCGGGTTTAACAGATGCTCTTCTCCCACCCTATTGCTCACACACCCTGCCACTCTGAATTGGCAGAGTAACATGCTATCATTTTTCCAGCACACTTTTTACTTCAATTTACATTTTCTTTTTGGTCCTTTGAGAACCAAATCACTGCAACTGAGCTGCAGAAGAGAGTGAATGGGTGAATTAGCTGCTCCTAAAGAAGCAGATGAAGCACTTGTCTGATTTTCTCAAATTTATTTGTTTAAAATTATTCACTTAAAAATTCCTGATCTGCAAATTATTCATTAGCAGTTTGGTATCAGTATTCAAAATTCAAGCTGCTATGGTTGATTTTTCATTGGACATGTGAAACCATCTATCATCTGTGTTTTCTCATTGTACAAATGCAACTCAGAATCCTTTTTCTGTTGTGAATAATTCATAAAACCAGCTCAAAATTTGCAAGTATTCACTATTTCTAAATGGGAAGTGAACCCAGAGTGGGTATAAGCATATTGCTGCTGAATTTTTTTGTTGTTTTTCGTTTGTTTGTTTGTACTTACCCTGTCTTGCAAAAGACCTTTGACACTGATTTGGGCCAGTGGAACAGCAAGGGCTCCATCTGACAATTGTGGATTACTAAAGAAAATTCTGTCTTACAGAGCCTGAACATCAAAACACACAGCAGTCCACAAACTGAGAGCTATTTTTGCTGGATGTAGAATCCCTAAAGGATGATCTCTGATAATGGGCTTCTCTGCATCTCAAAGAAGTGTGCTAGTGTAGCAAAACTGTAAGAGAGTGCTTTTAAATACATTGCAATACAGTAAAGTCCTATCAACTACACTGAAACAGGTTTCTTTGGGAGGAAGGGGGCAAGGAGTAATCAAAGCACAAAATACAGGCTCATTTCAACTTAGGGCACCTGGGAAAGGTGTCTTAGATGTCTGCTGAAATTTGGATATACTGAACAAACAGCATTGATGTACGTCTATACATGTTACCTCCCTGCAAATAACAAGTATACTGCTAAAAGTAACCCCCTTCTACACTGCAAGTATAACCTCTCTATGCTCATGAATTGGAGCGGTGGGCACTCAGTCCACAGCTCTTTTCAAACAAGGGAAAAGCAGGGACAATAGTGTATCTGAAGTGTAGACAGAGATCAGTATCACCATCAGGAATGGTGTTTATGCACAATCCTCTTTGCTAGGATGCACAGGCAAATATTTTCACAAAGAGTAGATATTTTCCAAGCATTCATGCAATCAAAACCTCTTCGTACAAAGCAGATTAAACAAGGAGCCTGAACTTGGCCAGAGATAGAGGTGCATGGCGTTCAAAACAAATGTTTATGAAAACTGCTCTCAACTAAGCGTGTCCTGCGACAGGCAAAGACAGTTGGGGTTTAAAGCAAGGGGCAGATAAACTCCACCGGTTGTGCATGCTGATGTCGTGTTTGATGTTCCTTTCAATTGTTTCCTCTGACCTATAAATATTATCTTGAGCTTATCTAATTTGAGCTTCAGCCAATTAATTCTGAGCTATGTCCCGGTCTCTGCTGACAGTGGATGGATTATTCTATTGCAGTGGTCAGTTCAGGAAAGACATCAGTCTGGAGCTTAGCATCATTCAAAGACTGGAGGTGTTGCAGTCAAAAGTTTCTTCGCTCACTGATCATGCATTGAAGGCAGAGGGGAGAGACCGGTACCCTACAGAGGCTGTCATGAGAAAGCTCTCAGGAAAGGGATGTAAAGTCCCTAACTCATTAGTAAGAATGCTCAGAAAAAAGTCACAGCCAGGTTTCATTGCCTGTGGCATACACAGAAAAATCCTCTTAAACAGACATTAATGTCATCTCTCTACAAATGTCCATTATCACAAATCCATCATCTCCATTGCAGCTTTTGGGTTCAATTTAACTGGCCAAAAGTTAGTCCCAATCCAGGCTTAAAAAAAACCCCTGATTGTCGTTTACTGATTTTGGAGATGAGAGCAGATGAGGGTTTCTCCACCAAGTCTTTCTAAGATTATTCCATCTTTCAGGATTTCATACTTAGCAAAAGCTATTTTCTTAAGCAATTACTTTTTAAGAGATGCTGGCAGCCTCCTTCCCCTTCAGCCATCTCCAGCAATGGGTCCTAACGCCATGTCTTGCAGCGGGGAGGGGAAGATCATCTCTAGCTCTCAATTTTTAGCCTGATGCCCCCCCTACCCGCCCCCAGTTTCTTTCCAGCTGAGTCACCATGGAGAAAGATTGCTCCTTCCATCCCTTTTCCCAGGGAGCTTGGAGGCAGGGGCTCACAACAGCTTTAAGCGGTATATGTCTGTAAATAGTTCATGAAGGCTCAGCAATGGATTTGGAGGACAGACATCTCAAATGAGTTACTCAACAAGTGCACTAGGCAGGATTTTGTAGATGCTTTTATGGAAGTAAAATAAGTACATTTCAACACTCCCATCCTCCCCGTACCTTTTGTGAATGGTTACAACGCCGCATGTTTGGCGTTTGCCTGGAGCTGCTGAGTTTGTACCTAGAGATCTGTATTCCCCGTTGAGCAGCTTTCCAAATTTCCTGTTTGCTTCTTTGAGAACTGCTTATGGATGCTCAGTCATTAAATGCACCATCTTTTTCACTGGATGCTTAAAAAAATACAGATATTACAAGTTCCAAGATAGTTTCCTGGAAAGCACTTGCTCTAAGATTTCTACTTTGGATACTTCACTACCAGTCAAGTTAAGAAGCAGCTAATAATCTTTGAGTTTGAAATGAACAATTTCAAACAGTCTTTCTATCCCTAGTTAAAAATTGAATTGAATTAAATTATGCCCTTGTGTTGGATTGTCTTTAAGTGACAATTAAAAACTTGCTGTGTGAAGT